ATAGGAGCCTTTGAACCAAGTGAAAGAGTAATTGTGGTAGGAGACCTGAATGCTAAAGTAGGAGAAACTTTTAGAGAGGGTGTGGTAGGTAAGTTTGGGGTGCCAGGTGTAAATGATATGGGAGCCCTTTGATTGAACTTTGTATAGAAAGGGGTTTAGTTATAGGTAATACATATTTTAAGACATATTTTAAGTAGGCCTTAGACAAGGATGTGTGATGTCACCGTGGTTGTTTAATATATTTATAGATGGGGTTGTAAGAGAAGTAAATGCGAGGGTCTTGGCAAGAGGCGTGGAGTTAAAAGATAAAGAATCACACATAAAGTGGGAGTTGTCACAGTTGCTCTTTGCTGATGACACTGTGCTCTTGGGAGATTCTGAAGAGAAGTTGCAGAGATTGGTGGATGAATTTGCTAGGGTGTGCAAAAGAAGAAAATTGAAAGTGAATACAGGAAAGAGTAAGGTTATGAGGATAACAAAAAGATTAGGTGATGAAAGATTGGATATCAGATTGGAGGGAGAGAGTATGGAGGAGGTGAATGTATTCAGATATTTGGGAGTGGACGTGTCAGCGGATGGGTCTATGAAAGATGAGGTGAATCATAGAATTGATGAGGGGAAAAGGGTGAGTGGTGCACTTAGGAGTCTCTGGAGACAAAGAACTTTGTCCTTGGAGGCAAAGAGGGGAATGTATGAGAGTATAGTTTTACCAACGCTCTTATATGGGTGTGAAGCATGGGTGATGAACGTTGCAGTGAGAAGGCTGGAGGCAGTGGAGATGTCATGTCTGAGAGCAATGTGTGGTGTGAATATAATGCAGAGAATTCGTAGTTTGGAAGTTAGGAGGAGGTGCGGGATTACCAAAACTGTTGTCCAGAGGGCTGAGGAAGGGTTGTTGAGGTGGTTCGGATATGTGGAGAGAATGGAGCGAAACAGAATAACTTCAAGAGTGTATCAGTCTGTAGTGGAAGGAAGGCGGGGTAGGGGTCGGCCTAGGAAAGGTTGGAGGGAGGGAGTAAAGGAGGTTTTGTGTGCGAGGGGCTTGGACTTCCAGCAGGCATGCGTGAGCGTGTTTGACAGGAGTGAATGGAGACAAATGGTTTTTAATACTTGACGTGCTGTTGGAGTGTGAGCAAAGTAACATTTATGAAGAGGTTCAGGGAAACCGGCAGGCCGGACTTGAGTCCTGGAGATGGGAAGTACAGTGCCTGCACTCTGAAGGAGGGGTGTTAATGTTGCAGTTTAAAAACTGTAGTGTAAAGCACCCTTCTGGCAAGACAGTGATGGAGTGAATGATGGTGAAAGTTTTTCTTTTTCGGGCCACCCTGCCTTGGTGGGAATCGGCCAGTGTGATAAAAAAAAAAAAAAATATTTTAAGAAAAAGAGGATAAATAAGTATACAAGATATGATGTAGGGCGAAATGACAGTAGTTTGTTGGATTATGTATTGGTAGATAAAAGACTGTTGAGTAGACTTCAGGATGTACATGTTTATAGAGGGGCCACAGATATATCAGATCACTTTCTAGTTGTAGCTACACTGAGAATAAAAGGTAGATGGGATACAAGGAGAATAGAAGCATCAGGGAAGAGAGAGGTGAAGGTTTATAAACTAAAAGACAAGGCAGTTAGGATAAGATATAAACAGCTATTGGAGGATAGATGGGCTAATGAGAGCATAGGCAATGGGGTCGAAGAGGTATGGGGTAGGTTTAAAAATGTAGTGTTAGAGTGTTCAGCAGAAGTTTGTGGTTACAGGAAAGTGGGTGCGGGAGGGAAGAGGAGCAATTGGTGGAATGATGATGTAAAGAGAGTAGTAAGGGAGAAAAAGTTAGCATATGAGAAGTTTTTACAAAGTAGAAGTGATGCAAGGAGGGAAGAGTATATGGAGAAAAAGAGAGAAGTTAAGAGAGTGGTGAAGCAATGTAAAAAGAGAGCAAATGAGAGAGTGGGTGATATGTTTATCAAAAAATTTTGTTGAAAATAAGAAAAAGTTTTGGAGTGAGATTAACAAGTTAAGGAAGCCTAGAGAACAAATGGATTTGTCAGTTAAAAATAGGAGAGGAGAGTTATTAAATGGAGAGTTAGAGATATTGGGAAGATGGAGGGAATATTTTGAGGAATTGTTAAATGTTGATGAAGATAGGGAAGCTGTGATTTCGTGTATAGGGCAAGGAGGAATAACATTTTGTAGGAGTGAGGAAGAGCCAGTTGTGAGTGTGGGGGAAGTTCGTGAGGCAGTAGGTAAAATGAAAGGGGGTAAGGCAGCCGGGATTGATGGATAAAGATAGAAATGTTAAAAGCAGGTGGGGATATAGTTTTGGAGTGGTTGGTGCAATTATTTAATAAATGTATGGAAGAGGCTAAGGTACCTAGGGATTGGCAGAAAGCATGCATAGTTCCTTTGTATAAAGGCAAAGGGGACAAAAGAGAGTGCAAAAATTATAGGGGGATAAGTCTGTTGAGTATACCTGGTAAAGTGTATGGTAGAGTTATTATTGAAAGAATTAAGAGCAAGACGGAGAATAGGATAGCAGATGAACAAGGAGGCTTTAGGAAAGGTAGGGGGTGTGTGGACCAGGTGTTTACAGTGAAACATATAAGTGAACAGTATTTAGATAAGGCTAAAGAGGTCTTTGTGGCATTTATGGATTTGGAAAAGGCGTATGACAGGGTGGATAGGGGGGCAATGTGGAAGATGTTGCAGGTGTATGGTGTAGGAGGTGGGTTACTGAAAGCAGTGAAGAGTTTTTACGAGGATAGTGAGGCTCAGGTTAGAGTATGTAGGAACGAGGGAGATTATTTCCCAGTAAAAGTAGGCCTTAGACAAGGATGTGTGATGTCACCGTGGTTGTTTAATATATTTATAGATGGGGTTGTAAGAGAAGTAAATGCGAGGGTCTTGGCAGGAGCCGTGGAGTTAAAAGATAAAGAATCACACATAAAGTGGGAGTTGTCACAGTTGCTCTTTGCTGATGACACTGTGCTCTTGGGAGATTCTGAAGAGAAGTTGCAGAGATTGGTAGATGAATTTGGTAGGGTGTGCAAAAGAAGAAAATTAAAAGTGAATACAGGAAAGAGTAAGGTTATAAGGATAACAAAATGATTAGGTGATGAAAGATTGGATATCAGATTGGAGGGAGAGAGTATGGAGGAGGTGAATGTATTCAGATATTTGGGAGTGGATGTATCAGTGGATTGGTCTATGAAAGATGAGGTGAACCATAGAACTGATGAGGGGAAAAGGGTGAGTGGTGCACTTAGGAGTCTCTGGAGACAAAGAACTTTGTCCTTGGAGGCAAAGAGGGGAATGTATGAGAGTATAGTTTTACCAACGCTCTTATATGGGTGTGAAGCATGGGTGTTGAATGTTGCAGCGAGGAGAAGGCTGGAGGCAGTGGAGATGTCATGTCTGAGGGCAATGTGTGGTGTGAATATAATGCAGAGAATTCGTAGTTTGGAAGTTAGGAGGAGGTGCGGGATTACCAAAACTGTTGTCCAGAAGGCTGAGGAAGGGCTGTTGAGGTGGTTCGGACATGCAGAGAGAATGGAGCGAAACAGAATGACTTCAAGAGTGTATCAGTCTGTAGTGGAAGGAAGGCGGGGTAGGGGTCGGCCTAGGAAAGGTTGGAGGGAGGGGGTAAAGGAGGTTTTGTGTGCGAGGGGCTTGGACTTCCAGCAGGCATGCGTGAGCGTGTTTGATAGGAGTGAATGGAGACAAATGGTTTTTAATACTTGACGTGCTGTTGGAGTGTGAGCAAAGTAACATTTATGAAGAGGTTCAGGGAAACCGGCAGGCCGGACTTGAGTCCTGGAGATGGGAAGTACAGTGCCTGCACTCTGAAGGAGGGGTGTTAATGTTGCAGTTTAAAAACTGTAGTGTAAAGCACCCTTCTGGCAAGACAGTGATGGAGTGAATGATGGTGAAAATTTTTCTTTTTCGGGCCACCCTGCCTTGGTGGGAATCAGCCAGTGTGATAATAATAATAATAATAATAATAATATTGGTATATAAGCAACAATTGGCATTGAAATCAAAAGATTTACTTTAAAACATAAGTATCATATCATGAAAACCAAGAAAAGTAAAGTAAAAAAAAAAAAAAAAAAAAAAAAAAAAAAAGTAAATGTGTAGAATTTCTGCAAGTGGCAGTGCTCCATGTTGCCGTCAGGTGATCACCAAGTGCCAACTTCGTGCCCTCATATCTCGGTAAGTATCGACCCTAAATTTTTTTTTACCCTATAACAATTAGAAAGATGTGCTCTTTATAAAAAGAAACTATGTTTTTATTTTTCAAAATATTCGGGGAACTGGGCGAGTGAACGTATATATATGTTTGGACCGTTTACGGGTTAAAGCTACCTAAAATTTCACGATAGTTTAGATTTACTCTCAACTGTGAGGCTTCAAAATATACACCTTTTCTTGTCTTATGTCTGTAGTTAAGCAAAGACCTGATTATTTGAAAGTATACCCCCCATTTTATTGCTGAAGGTGACTTGTGGCCAGAAATATATGGAAATTTATTACTGGTGAACAAACCTATAAGAATGCCAATTCATACACCTACAGCTGCCATTCCAGGATATACAAGCAACCTCCACTAGTTACTCCATCATCAGAGGATCTGAAAGAGCCATACAATGTCTCATTGGGGTGTCACCTGACATGCCCTAAGATGATCCAATTTCTATCAGGTAGACTGACGGCCAGTGTAGCACTACTAATGGAAGCTACATTAAAACAAGGCTAATGGTGATCTCTCTATTTCTCCCCTCTACCCTCTGTTTAGAAACTGAATATAACAAAATGGATAAATTTCTCTACTAATGAGACCCAATACAGAGAGAGAGGTTGGCAGGTATTTCAATTTGATCTATGGAAAGGGATAAGAAGTCTAATTCCTTGCATCAATGGGCCCCTCTGCCACAGCAAGGTCAGTTATTTTAGAATATTGTAGAGAGGAGTAATATTATACAATTCTAATTAATTAAACTCATTTTAAAATATATTTTTAATGAATATGTTATATATTAACATATTACTCTATAATAAAATACACAATATCAAGAATCATGTCTGAGCATAATGTTTAAACACAATAGATGAGCCACAGAGTCTGCAGCCCTCATCCCTAAATCATTGTCAATTTTGGGAAAGCTTCCTGTGTAAGACTAAGTTAATGTACACAGTAGAGCGTCAATCAACTAACGTTGAATCAAATAGTATTATTATTCACTAAACCTGAAATAAGCCATATTTTGAACTACCACAGATTTTCTGGCACAGTATAATAAGAGCAACAATAAAAAAATATTGTAATTAATAACATTAATATTGATTACTATAATAAATAATAACAACAACAATTATTATTCAGAAGAATTCTTAAAACCAACCAATCTGAAAGCTGTAGCAATTTCAGTTTAAAATTTTTCTTCTAATGCCAAAAGCCTAAATTCGTTGAGATAATCGGCGCTCTACATCATAATGAAGTAAATGCCTAATGTACCCACACAAAATCTCGTTACTGCATATATACACTTATAGCTTGGCAGAGCTTTACAATTTACTGTAAAACAATGCAATACAATGCGTTCATGGCACAAATTTTGCATCATACGAGAACTCATAATATAGTAACATTTCACTACTTTTATTATGCAATTCTACAGCAATTTCATTCTTTTCTTCGACTGTGATATACAGTAATAATTTACAGTCAATTAAAAATTTTACTTGAAAATATCCATGAAAACACAATTTTTTTTTTTTTTTTTGTCTTTTCTGGGGCTTGCCTAGCTGAGGCACACAAGAGGTTGTAGGACAGGAGGTAGGATCTGAAAGATTATGTTATTAAAACATAACACACCACTTTATGGCATTGTATATTCAAAGATAATTTCCTCTTAAAGACAAATAATTTATAAGGGATGTGAAAACAATGAACAATTATCCAAATTCTTCATCTTTTTATATTCACTAGTCTTTGCTGCTGGACAGATGTAAAAATATAATGTGGTACAAATCCATTATATTTTTTACATATTAAAATTCAGTTTCAAGTAATCTACAATTTAATATAAATTACCAGGTAGTAGAGCAGATGTCTTCAGTCACCCGTGGAAGCACTACCGAGGGCAAGTACAGAAAATGCTGTTTCTTCCAAGACGGTTCTTTCCTTTCTACCCCATTTCCACTGTTAAAACTTCTCACTATCCTTCAAAATGATTGATCTTTTTTTGTTTTAATTTCATTCATCTGTTATGTCCCTTTACTTCAACTTTATCTAATGATTTCATACTTCCTCCTACTGTCTTTGTATATACACAATGAGGTAAACATAAGCTATTTATTCAGAGCAAGTCGAACTGCATTACACTTTGGATAGCAAAAGTAGCAAACAGAATTCCTTAACAAGTGCTCTAGGCACCTTCAGTATCTGAAAGCTCAGAGATGGTTACTAGCTGCAGTGTTTGGTGTAGTCACAGTATCAGTTTATTATTTTCAGTGCAGGCTGACAAAATGAATTTTACATGTAAGAAAACTTTTAAATGATAACTACAAATTTTTATTATTTATAACATTCATTAAAATTATACATCCAAGAACATAGGAATAACTTCAAATTTCTAGAGATTAGTATATAGTCAGTTGCATGAAAGGTAGGAAAAAAAAATGACAGATGGAAATGGCTGTAATTAAAACAAAATTCTACCCATTCATGCCAAGCCCTCTGATGTGTAACCAAACACAAGAAATTTGGTAGCCACCCCAAACACTGACAAATCTGAGGAAACAATAGCTGTCATGTCTTTACTTTAAACATCATGAAGGTTACTATCACAGCAGTACAATAACCTCATACAATGCATTTAGGGAAGCTAATGTTGAACATTCTTCTGCACACTTCCTTTGTATTGTATATCCAGCCAACAGGAGGTAAAATACACATATACATTACAAGAATACAAAACTGGGAAAAACAGAAATCTCATCTTGTAAGAATATTAAATAGGTTCACTCAAAAAACATTACATTTATAAAAAGAAAATGCTGGCAATGAATTTCTCCAAAATAACAATAATCACAGCTAGAGCAATCTGCTCCCAGCAAAATAAAGAGAAATCATTACTTTGATTTAACTCTTGTTGCTACCACACATCTCCATCTGCATCAATGAAGTTCCTCATGGCATACTAAGATTATGTGCAGGATTGCATATCTTACAGTCATTAGCAAGCCCACCTTGGTCAGGAACTACCATCAGCAGACTTTCACTGGGTCTTGTATCACACAATCAAGGAGTGCTTCTACACTTTGATGAATCCTCAGGCATTTCTGAAAAGTAAAGTAGATAATTAAAAGCTAGATTTCCCAAAATAATAAGAGTATCAATATCTGTTGATGGTTGGTTCCTGGGATCATTACTCTCACAGCCCAGTCTGTTGCGGCCGTATATATACGTCTTACAAGGTACCGTGTTTGACGTATATATACTCATAAATTCTAGCGGCTTCAAATCAAGCAGGAGAAAGCTGGTAGGCCCACATGTGAGAGAATGGGTCTGTGTGGTCAGTGTGCACCATATAAAAAATTCCTGGAGCACGCACTGCATAATGAGAAAAAAAAACTCCGACTGTTTTTTTTAATTAAAATGCCGACTTTGTAGTCTATTTTCGTATAGTATTTATGGTTGTATTCTCGTTTTCTTGGTCTCATTTGATAGAATGGAAAACATATTATAGAAATAGAGAGGTGATTTTGATTGATTTTACTATAAAAAGAACCTAGAAATGGAGCTCAAAGTAGGGGAAATGTTTGATTTTTGCCAATGTTCTAAAGTAAACAAATGATGCCATTGTCCAATAAATGTCCAACTAGCCATTCTAATATGCAGTCATGAATGGGTTGATGTTATTTATACAATTATTACAGTATTGCAGTAGTCTGCATAATAGTAAGTCTTCTATTTTTTGTTTGAATAAAAATTCAAAATAGAAAGCAAGAGTAATATCAGAGGGGCCTGGAGACATGACTGATGAGCAAAGAAAATGTTATTTTAGAGCCAGGAATGTCTGCATTGTTCATTCTGGACCTTATTTTGAAATTGTCATATTTTTTAGTTTTCGTGAAATTGGCCAAATTGCAAATTTCTGACCACATTATTAGGTAGTTGAAATTGGTAAATGGGCAGTTTCTTGTACTCAATCGATAGAAAAAATGGAGTTCTAAAGAAATAGCTATGAGTTTGGGCAACTGGAACAATGGAATTAGCCGAAAATAGGGCTCAAAGTGGGCGAAATCGCCGATTTGTAAACAGCACCGAGGTCGCTAACTTTGCGAGAGCATAATTCCGTCAGTTTTCCATCAAATTTCGTTTTTTTGGTGTCATTACAATCGGGAAAAGATTCTCTATCATTTCATAAGAAAAAATAATTTTTTTTTTTTAAATTTTGCGACACCAGGAGACACCTCAGGATTGGGGGTTGCGACAGTCACAAGGTTAACTCACTCTCAGGGTCAAAAAAATTTTTCTTACGAAATGATAAAGAATCTTTTCCCAATGGTAGTGACACCAAAAGTACGAAATTTGATTGAAAACTTATGAAATTACGCTCTCGCAAAGTTAGCGATATTGGTGATATTTACGCATCGGCGATTTCACCCACTTTGAGCCCTATTTTCGGCCAATTCCACTATTCCAGTCGACTAAAATCATAACTATTTCACTAGAACTCCATTTCTTCTATCAAGAAATTGCCCATTTTCTGATTTCAACTACCCAATAAAGTGGTCAGAAATTGGCAATTTGGCCAATTTCACACAAATTTCAAAAGATGCCAATTTCAAAATACGGTACAGAATAAACAAGACAGACATTCCTGGCACTAAAATAACATTTTCTCTGTTCATTTATTTATTTATTTATGTCTTTGCAAATAGTACATTGAGATTATGTATTTACAATAATGGGTTGCAATGCAAAGAGAGCCTCTATTATGCCTAGGCATTATGGGCCGACTTAAAATTATTGGCTTACTGACTACTTAACACTAAGAATTATATCATAGTTGTACAGTAGATTATTAATTATAAGTGAATCTAATTTATATAAGGCAAAAGATATATTCGCATATTCAAAAATGTTTTTTGTGAAACAATGATTCAATTACTATATTCCTGTCGGCAATAGATAAAAAGTTCAAAAGTAATTGTTGAAATTATGATATGGGAATACGTACTGAGTATGTGAGTACTGAGTATTGAGCATTTAGTCTAGGGTGATTAAGCGGCTTTTGAGAAGGATCTTAAATTGATTTTCAGACCGGGTTACTTTAGTATCTTCTGATAATGAATTCCATATTTTGGGGCCCTTTGGGGCGATTAGTGCGAAGATTGTTAGTCTTTCCGCCAGACTAACACTCTTCACACTAATCTCATTCATACCTCTCCTTCCTCTACAGATGCTCCTGGTGTCTACTCTATTTCTTGTTCCTCCTGTCCTCTTCAGTACTTTGGAGAAGCTGGCCGATCTCTTTCTGACAGACTTAGGGAGCACAAAAGTAGTGTTAGGCTTGCCGACACTAACAATGCTCTCTCCTGTCACGTCAGAGATCACAGCCATCCTATTGACTGGTCTTCTGCTAAAACTGTCTTCCCTACTTCCAACTTTAACAGTCGCCGTCTGGTTGAATCCTCCCTAATACACAACTTTCCTTGTATGAATCTTAGTCCTGGCTTCGACTCTGTTGATGCCTTCCTTTCCCAAACTTCAGAACACCTATGACCTAACCTGATTCCTCCTTTTTCTTCTTCTCCTTCTTCCCCTTTCCTCTTTCCTTTTTCTCCTTTGGGTTGTCTTTCTTCTGAACTGTGTATTTGTTCCTAATTATTTATTTTTTGTCCCCCCCCCCTCGGTGTTCTTGCACTTACCCTCTGTGGGCACCTAGTTCCCTTGCAGTGCTCCTCTTTCTTAGTTTGACTGGCTCCTCCTCCTCTTACTACCTCCCCACTACTACTTCCTTCTACCTCCACCACTACTACTACTACCACCTCCTGCCTATATATACCCTTCCCGCTCTCCTTTTTGTTAGTGTGACTTTGTAAATGGTCCAAGTCGGACTGAAACATCGTCGTAAGCTCCTCTCTTCTATGTGCGGGTTATCTGTATATCGTTCCAGTCACGGTATTGTGCCTTTTTTTGTTATTTAGAAGTGGGCGTGTCAGCAGATGGGTCTATGAAAGATGAGGTGAATCATAGAATTGATGAGAGAAAAAAAGTGAGTGGTGCACCTAGGAGTCTGTAGAGACAAAGAACTTTGTCCATGAAATTAAAGAGGGGAATGTATGAGAGAATAGTTATACCAACGTTCTTATATGGGTGTGAAACATACATGGTGAATGCTGCAACAAGGAGAAGGCTGGAGGCAGTGGTGATGTCATGTCTGAGGGCAATGTGTGGTGTGAACATAATGCAGAGAATTTGCAGTTTGGAAATTAGGAGGAGGTGCGAGATTACCAAAACTATTACCCAGAGGGCTGAAGAGGGGTTATTGAGGTGGTGTGGACATGTAGAGAGGATGGAATGAAATAGAATGACTTTGAGTGTGTATAAAGCTGTAGTGGAGTGAAGGAGGGGTAGGGGTCAACCTAGGAAAGGCTGGAGGAAGGGGGTAAAGGAGGTTTTGTGTGCGATGGGCTTAGACTTCCAGCAAGCATGTGTGAGCATGTTAGATAGGAGCAAATGGAGATAAAAATGTTTTTTTAGGATTTGACATGCTGTTGGAGTGTGAGCAAGGTGACATTTATGAAGGGAGTCAGGGAAACTGGCAGGCCGGACTCGAATCCTGGAGATGGGAAGTATAGTGTCTGCACTCTGAAGGAGTGGTGTTAATGTTGCAGTTTTATAACTGTAGTGTAAGCACACCTCTGGCAAGACAGTGATGGAGTGAATGATGATGAAAGTTTTTCTTTTTTGGACCACCCTGCCATGGTGGGAGAAAGTTGATGTGTACATATAAAAAAAATGATAGGGATTACATTCTTAGAAATCCCAATGAATTTAAAAAACTACGAATACCACTAAATTCTGTACACACAATTAATTTTTACCCTAACTTGGGTTCATACAGCATAGGTGTAACAAATATGCGGCTCATTACAGAAATACTTGCAGATAATTAATACATTATAAAGATATACAGTACCCAACTTACCTTTGATGATGAGGAGAATGAACCATAACAATAATGATTGATGAATGATGATAACTCATGAAGAAGCTGGTCTTCCATAAGCAGTCAGCAGGATACTTCTTCTGTAGCATCGTTCATTTATGCAGAATCATGGACACCTTTATGTCAGTGTCTGCTAATAGCAGCTTTTCTCTCACCACTAGCAAGAATGTCTAATAAAGTCTATTTTATTTTTTATTTCAACACTTTTTTCCAATTAAGAGCAAATGTGCCTTTACCACTCATCTCATATTCATAATGGTGCCTAAACAAGAACACTACAGTAATGCAAATAAAGTATGAATGGAGATAGGGACAATAGCACTTTAAGTGAGAGGAAATTCAGCATGTTTGCAGCTAGCAGACCCAAAACAGTGGACCCAGCAAATCAACAAACATCAGAGAGCTGTGATGCTCAGATATAGCTGTTTCAACAATAATACATTCCAAAAGATCCCTCTCTTTTGGTTATCCAATTTTATTACTTAAAGCATTAAATGAAATAAAGCTGTAAAACATTATTTGCACATTATATAAAAGTAATATCCACAGAGCTCAGGAGGGAATACTGATGTGGTTTGGATATTTCAAGAGGATGGAGCAAAACAGATGACTTGGAAGGTTTATAAATCTGTAGTGGAGGGAAGGAGTGGTATGGGTCATCCTAGGTGAAGTTGGTGAGAGAGGGTAAAGATTTTGTATGCCTAGGGCTTGGACACCCAACACGAATATGTGAGCAATTTTGTTAGAATGGAAGCAAGTGATTTTTGTGATGATGTGCAGTTCGAGTGTGAGCAAGGTACACAAATAACCCGCACATAAAAGACAGAAGCTTACGATGACGTTTCGGTCCGACTTGGACCATTGACAAAGTCACACTAACAGAGGAGGAGCAGGACGGCTATATATAGGCAGGAAGAGGTGGAGGTAGTAGTAGTGGTAGTAGTAGTGGTGGTAGTAGTACAAGAATTGTATATAATACCGACAGGATGAAATGACACATGCACAACACCCGGGCATCCCCACCGTAGACGTTTCGCCATCCAGCCAGCCACTGGATGGCGAAACGTCCACAACAAAGACAACCAGACGCCGCACATGTGT